TTATTAGTTACACTTCTTATGCCAAATAGATACGGTCCTTTTGCTTTTCTATTCTACCCAAAGGTTGTCTGGAAGAGATTGCTTTAGCAATTTCTTTCAGCTTTTCTGTAGCAATAAGATAAGTCTAATATATATATATATGAATTATATTTTATGTGTCTTATTATTTTTTAATGTATATATTCTAAAGTAGTTTTTTTTTTTTAAATAAATAAATAAAATGTACAAAAATAAATACGATTATATATACATTATTTCGATGTAATATATAAATCCAATCGATTAAAACATTCTTTAGACGTAATCATCTTATACCTATATTTTATAAGAGTACTAAACCCTGCAGGTTTTAAATTCCTGGGCTTTTTCGTAAATTCTTGACGAAAATTGTCAAAGGTATATAAAAATAGATTTAATTTAACTTTTCGTCCGCTATGTCGTACGCGTCGATTTCAGTAGTGGAAAAATCATTGAATAAGGCCACTTCTGGATGGCATATCAAGATAAAACATATACCAGATTTTAGATACGACTTTCAGAAACACAAATGTGAGAAACGGATGAAACAACAAATGTAAGAACGGATCTAATTTAGTGCAGCAGTTTTTTCATGATCCCGGAAGAAACATACATACGGACAGACAAAATTTTTAATAATTATTGTTTTGGCTTCTATTGTTCCTAATAAGTCTACTTATATTAATTTTTCTTAAATATTTCCAATGTACAGATATTGTCTAACTAGACGAAGAATCTACAATTTTATTATACAATATTAATAAGATAACATATTAGCAAATATTATATATTTAATATTATTTTATTTTAAAAAATTCAAAAGGTATAACCTTTTGAATTTTTTAAAGACATTTAAAAATACAATAGTAAAGGTTTATAATAATCAAGCTGTATCAATTATTCATTAAATTTCGTATTAATTTATATTTGTATATTATAATAATCGCGAGTAATTTGTATATTTTGTTATTTGCCATGTGGTCTTAGCATAGAATGGGCCACCCCTTCATTCATACCGTAAAAAGCAACTAAGGAAACTTAATAAGAGGTTATGGATAAGACATAGGTCTTCGTATCTGGTTCTAGGAGGTCCTTAATATAGGTATTTTTATGCAATATAGAATAGCAAAGAAGCTGACGGTCCACCTGATGGAAAGTGGTAATCGTCGCCTATAGACATGAGCAGTACCATGGACATAACAGTTAACGGCTGATAGAATAATAATAATTTGTATACAGGTACTTATTATTATTTATAATTAGACTTAAGTAAATATTTTCCACGAGCGAGCGTAAAATACCTACTTAGTGCCAAATTCGACCTCGTTTCCCTGAAACTGTTAAGCAATTGCTTGGTGTCATCGATATTGCAAGTATTGCACAATCGACATATTTTGATGTCATTGGACTTAATGCATCAATCTTATGATCAAAATTGTGTTAATTTACATTCATTAAAATAATAAATTAATAAGGTACCTATTTTCAAATGCATGCGCTAGTAAATGATTGATAATTAGGTCTACCAAACGCCGTACTGTAGTAGGTATTAGGTAAGTATGTATTTACACATGCTCTTGATTAAGTAATATCTATTTAAAAATGCTCATAGGTGTCAGGGAAATAAGGATACAAAAGTCGTTTGCTTGGGTACCTCTGTCCCATTCGTGTTTCAACCGTAAAGCAGTTGTGTTTGCATGACTGTGTTTCAGTTTGAAGGGTGGGATATGGCATGAATTTACAGGGTACAAAGGAATAACATCTGAGTCCTCAGGAATGGCAACGCATGGGGTGTATCATGGGCGAAACAGTATACTCTGCTATGTCCATGGCACTGCTCATGTCTATAGGCGACGGTTATCACTTTCCATCAGATGGGCAGTCAGCTTGTTCGCCATTCTAAGTTGTATAAAAAAAAATTGTAAAATGAGTAAGGATATCACGAAATCACAGGAGACTTCGAATGTATCAATAAAACATGCTTAAAATTTTTGTGATATGTACGAGTATTACAAAATATTCATACTATACAGGAATAAACAAAACGAGTTCTTTAATTGTGAAGTATGTGTTATAAGACCGTGACCTAAAATATTTTTGGCTGTATTCTCAATTTTTTTTTAATCCATTTAAACACAATAAAAATGACAATTTCATTATTAACAAATGTACCGTAATGTATATTATTAACAAAAAAATCTAGTGTTACTAAATACATTTTAATATAATGACGTATTACTAAAAACATTGTAGTATTTTATAATGTCATTAGATCTTTTTATATGATAAAATCCCTAATAGCAGTAGACATAATTCCTAAGAAAATAAATTGACGAAAATCACCAATAAATTAAACGGAACATTTATTGCTTGTGTATGTCTTCGATTTCCCACCAAAGCAGTTCTGATGTGAATTTAACATATCATATTAACTTCATATTTGAACTCTCAAATCCATCGTTCTACATAATTATTACTTTTAGCCGACTTCAAAAAGAAGGAGAGGAATGAGGAAAAGAGGAATCTCAATTCGGTTGTATTTTTTACGTTTAGTACCTCATAACTCCGTGTTTTATAAACTGATTTGGAAAATTATTTTTTTTATCTAAAAGGATATTCTTACAGTTCATTGCTTTTCCACGATTAAAATCGGATTTTTCTCTAGATCTAAAACGCACAAAAAAATCTTCATAATTTCTTATTAAAAAATCGCCTGATCTCTATCTAGTTAATCTTTTTATGCTAAGTCTATTACCTGGATATAAGTAATGGAAATATGAAATATCATTTGAGAGTAAAAATAAGCTTCTAAAAAATGGTCAACTAACTGTCAATTGACGCTCCTTTTGCTTCATTCTTCATTTTGAGTGTTCAATCTTTTATCAGGGTATATAAATATTTGAAACTGATTAATATTGATAATATAATACTGTTTAAATAAATAAAATTATCGGATACCTACTAAAAGTAGCCAATTACAAGTTTAATAATTACAAAATATTGCCATCTAACGAAAAGACTCTTTTTATAGAAGCATATGTAAGTAGATACCTTTATCTAGATATTATTGATCGGTAGAAAAATTAATTACAAATAGCTTCCATTTTTAAAAAGAACGAGTAATTCTATATTAAAAAAAACAGAAAAAATTTCTCCATAGATTAAGGACAGTATAGTTAGAAATTCGGGTTTACTTGCTCATTTTTTTCCAATGAAAATATTTAAAGTTAAATAGTCGATGATTTAAAAATAAATACAAAACTGCTTAAAAATTAGTTTATTTAAATAAAGTATTGCGGATTTGTTTTGACCTAACGAGACTATAGTTTTACTATTTTTGTTCGGAAATTTAATTAAGATAGACATATTAATATTCAAAATTCTAGTATAGGTATTACTTATATTTTATATGCAGATGAAGTCTCATATTATAATGTTTTGATTATAATAAAATAGTTAAAGAAAAAACTAAAAATACTTACGTATTTGAAAAAAAGGTAATCCTAGACTAAATTTTTTTTTATTTTGTTTAATATAAGTACGTATTTATTAAAAAGTAGTTATCTAAATTAATTATTATACATTACAAGCTCTATTTGTTTAAAAAAAACTTTGATTCGAATTTGTCAAGAAAGATCTTTTAGTCGTTATACAAAAATTTTGTCATATATGTTCTACCTGTTTCAGCCAAAGATTTTGTAATTCCTTGTTCTTATGTTTATTTATTATATCTTGGTTTATTCATGATCCCAGTATTCCACAGTTAAAACGTTTTGGAACCCTTTCTATATGTAAAAAAAAGCCCGGATGAAAAAAAAATAATAAGTATGCTTTCAATTAACATTACTCGTATAATATAAAATTTAAAGAGCAGACGATCCAAGAAGAAATAGTTATATCGACGGCAAGCTAAATCTAATAAAAATTAAAATCAATTGCCGAATGTATGGAAGTGCCTCTTTTTAGACTTGCTGCACTTTTTGGCAAATTCTTTTTTGTATTTGTAATTGTCAGAGTAAGATTTGTATAAAATAGTTTGAAAAATTGTGCGGAAAAGTTAAAGCTTGAGTTAATAAAGAAAAGATTTGGTCTCATTTTTTAATACAACCATTCGAAACCAGGGTGAGCTGCCAATATTTTGTAAATAACTAACAAAATCCTTAGATACTAATATAATTAAATGTGAAAGTGCGTGTATTTGTTTATTTCCCTGTTAACTTTTAACAGCTTAACTAATGAATATCAAACAAAAAAATACAAGTACTTCATTGGATGAAGGCTACTTTTATCTGGGTTAGTAAACATATTCCGATCACACGGACGAAATCGCGAATAAAAGCTAGTAATATAATATTTATTTAAATTAGGATTAATCTTTATGTAAATTAGGATGGTAAACAAACTGACGGCCCACTTGATGGAAAATAGAAACTGTCGGCTCGTGAAGGAAAAGGGATAGTAATGGAGTCTAACAGCCCCATTCCTAGCAATAGACCCTATTAGGTTGAACTCTATGTGTTTTACCCTGAAAACTATCATCAATAATTTTTGTAGAATTCGTCACGATGGGTAACCGACCTGCTTTCATCCTTATCTATCATCCCTCATTGATGCCCTGCCAGCGTATACCAAAAGTGCAAGTAGAGGTTACCATTCTAGGCTGTTGCCTCGTACATGAACAGCACCATAGATATCATAAAATGCACAATGATACCCATGGTCCTTCTTGTTGACTATTTTTGAGGACGATGGTATTATGCTCCATACTCCTACATTACGCTAGAAACACGAGTAAAACAAAGGTACCCAAGCGAGTTTTTTTTTAGAGTAGAATTTTTAATGAAGATATTCTAGAAACCACGTAAATGTAATAAAATTTATTTTTTATTTAAAAACTGTTATAGAAATTACAACTTTTTCCGATAATTAGTAGTAACTTTATAAACAAGTAAATATAGTTGTATATTAATTTTTAATCATGTCTAGCCAAAAAACAATAGCTTGTCTACAATATACTCGTGTTATTTTATTGTTTAGGCAAGTATGGACATATAAATGATATAAATATTATAAAAAATGTTTTATATGTATTTTTATTTGATACAAAATATTCAATCTTTGTTATTCCTCCATGTTAGGTTTTGTAGGAGTGTATTTAATAAATACAAATAGGAAAAGTATTGCGTTACATATGTACCTTAAATGAAAGATTAGTTTTATGAATATTTTATTAGGAAAACACAAATTCTCCTAAAGATAATATTCGTAATTTACTTTTGTAAGAATCTATTTACATTATTGATTAATCAGTTGTTTGAGTCATTGTAACTTACATATAATTTTAATACATATATTTTAACGAAGCTATGAATATCTTACGACACAACCATACATTTAACACGGTGTTTGAATAGTCGTTCCTGTCGGAAACCACGACTACATTGTTCCACCAATAAAAAACTATAAAACTGGAACTGATAATAATTGAATTTCAAACTTAACAAAAGCACGACTGGGCTGTCGGCGGCGGCGTCCAGCGCGTGATCGTGCTCGCGGGACCCGCCGGGCTCTCAGTACCTCTGCCACGCGCACGACGACGAGGCAGCGGAGGCGCCGGCTCGCGACGCCGAACTTTGCCGTCACAGCTCCGAGAAAAACTCGGGTGACGAGTGCGGCGTCGGAGGAGCGTGCTGCGGGACTGCGTGCTCACGACCCACCATCGCTAGCCTCTGCTTGAGCAAGTCCCTCTCGTGTGTCACTCGCGCCACTTGCAGCTGCAGCACATGCAACTCGTCTTGTAGTGATCGATTTGTCAGCTCCAATTCTTGTCGTTGCTGTAGTCTCTTGCTGCGACAGTTTTGAGCGTATCCTCGGTTTTTTAATGTGCGTCGTTTTTGTTTCAATCGTGTTACGTCTTCACGTGGAAATCCATGAAGACGCTTATTCAGTTCACGAACGCTCAATGTCATCAGAAGATCATCGCTAATAAGATCTTCGCCGCACGACGAAGGTTGATAGGAGGGAAGCTGACTGGTGCGTGGTGATAGAGCTGAGCATGAACTCGCAGGACGTAGTGCCACTTGTTGTATATGGTGATCCTGTTCTCTCCATTCTCGCCGATCCCAATCCTCAAAACTTCCACAGGGCACTGTACGCATATCCAACGGTTCACGCATGTGAGGAAGCCATAGCACGTCGTCGACTAAAGCCGCGCGACACGGGCTACGTCCGAGGGGTGCTGGTGGTGTCTCTGGAGGTGTACTAGGATCTACAGCGATAGCTACATGTGGTTGGGGGTACGGCCCGGTATCTGGCCATGGACGGCAAGCGCGAGCGCATGACGGAGGTATTTCAGCCATTTCGTGCCATCCATTCCTTAAAGGCTCTCGTTTTACTAACTGATGATCTTCGAGATGATCCAGCTCAAAATTTTGGACATATTCGTCGGCGAGCTGGTCTTCATCGGCTTCACGATGTGGTTGTGGCGGCAGGGTCTGCATGGCGCTCGCCTGAGTGCAGTCTACGAGCGCGTGTTCCACCATGAGGCCGTGCGAGGCGCACGCCGGCCGGGAGTGTACTGCGGCGCGACTCACACCGCCCCGAAACTCCGCCCTCCAATCCAATGACGTTCAGCGACGCGCGCATACTTTGCAGCCTTTTATATTCACGTTTAAAGTTCGCTAACACAACACCAGATCCTAATAATATAAACATATCTTGACACACATTCATGAAATTAAGTATTTACTTTGTAACTACGATCTTTTATTGAGAGTAATTTAATACCAAATGATTCAATATTTATAATAATCCTTGACTATCAAATAAATACATACACATGATTTTTTTATCCTCAATTACTATTATTTGTTATCCTTTATCTTATGAATTGACTATATGTACCCGATATCGTTTTGCTACAATCATGTTTCGTAGAGCCTCTACGATGTTTTCCTTTCACTTTTTTACGCAACAAACGTTTCATAGACCGTAACAGATCATCCATCTTTTTTATAATGTTTATATTTGTTAGATAATATAGTCATTATATTGTATTTAAGATATTTTCCTATTTATTATTTAAAAAAGAAAAATATAAAATGATAAGATATAGATGTTGCGGCAGTCAGTACATCAACTACAGAACAAAGTGATTTCACGCGTGGCCGATTGCGGAAGGGTTAACTTCAGCATAATTCCAAGTTACATTTAATCACCGGACGCGAAACGATGGGTGCCACTTTAAACATTTAACCCTTCTGCCAAATAATTGAATCGATGCGCTTATTACTGCAAAAACAAGATAAATCATTTCGAGCCTATTATAAAATTCATAATAAATTATTAAGTAAATATACACTTACGAATATTTCAGAGAATAGTTATTTATTAACTGTTATTTAAAAAAAATATTTATATATTTTTATCAATTATTATATACTTCTATAATAGTAATAATAATACTATATTAAATATATATTTAAACAGTATTAATAATTAAGAACAATGAAATAAACGTTCTAAATCGTAAATTATATTTTAGAGACTAAGTCGATTTTGTATATTTAAAATTAAAAAATGGTGGTCATTTTCAATTATTTTAAAACGAAAAAATACAGTATGTCTATACTTGAAAATAAATTAAAGTCATCAATGAAGATAATCATCATTACGAAACATTATGCATAATATATTCGTGAGACTTTTAGACACTTCTGCGACTCACTTACTCATAACTATTTTTTATATTTTTAGTGGCCATTTTCAATGATTTTAATCGAAAAAATACATTTCTGTCTGAAAATTTAAAGTCGGTGAAGATAAACTGGAATATTCGGAGAGCATTAAGTTCACTATTTTTTTATATTTTTATCACTAAATTTGTTTTTGTAATGTGTATTTTCACATCATTTGTACTAAATATTATTTTGTAATGTGGTCAGTAAAGAATAAATAAATACATTTTATATCGTTTTTGTTCTTCAATTTAATCTTACAATATAATTTCATCATTATACTTAGCAATAATAAATGCATTATGTTAACACTATTCACGCTCGCATTGATAAAAAAAATTTACCTGTTTTTGTCAAAGACTATTTTTTATGGAGTCACTAATCATAAAATATAAACTCTAAATATATTAATTGTTCTTACTGCAATTAATTTGGAATATAATAACGATTCAAAATCATGACCCTTTCCATAAGAATAAAGGCTAAAAAGAAATGATACTCCCGTCAATCGTCGTCGCTCGAGTCACAGTATACTCAAAAGGAAAGCTCTTGTAATGGAAGGTTAGCCGCAAGAGTTAAATAAATAAATAAAAACAATATGATATCAATTATAACCTATATTTGAATCAACAAGTCAATAAAAACTATACATAAAATGAAAAAAAAAAACAGAATTTTAACAACTGCCTTTCTTATAAAATCCACTAATACTCACAACTTCATTACATACCTACCACAACATATGTTTTTCAATCACGCTTAAACAGTTGAAAGGATTTTAATAATTTTGGTACACGGGTAGATTATATCTCAACTTGCAGGATACTTTATATACCGATTCACACAGACAAAGTCATGAAAATTAGCTTATAATTCTTATAAGTTAAAATCATTTGTTAATTACGATGTTAAAATTATTTAGAAAGATAATCATTATAATTAAACGATGTTATATAGTAAAAATTACCTATTATTCTAGTAGAAAAACTAGATATCTCTAAATAAGTGTTTTTTATAAATCCATGGATATTTATGATTTATGTGTACATTTTTAAGTCTAAATCTACAGCTACGAGTCCGCATGATTATTATCTACTAGTGAATCTATTTATGTAATCAAATGCAGAATTATTGTTTATAATTCATAACTGAAGCATACATAATGTGTTTTTTTTTAAATAATCCTTAAAGGAAATGAAATGAATGTAGCAAAACTAATATGGAAAAATCGTACTGACATTCAGCTAATTCAGCTCTGTCCGTTTAATCTATTTGATTATACTGTGAAATCACATAAACACATCATTTTTACTACTTTTATGTTTAGTATTATAACAATTAGATAGATGGCGCTAAACCATTTTTACAATGTGGTATGGTTTTATTTTATCAGACTAATATTGTTACAAAAGGATAAATTCAAAGCTCCATTATAATTCTTCCAGCAATCTAGTTTTAATAGGTGAAAATGGAATAACAAACCCTACCTGCACTGTCGGTATACGCAAAACCAATCTAGAGGTGAGAGTATAAGAACTAAACTTTCAATAGATGGCGGTTGCTGAAATATAAAATACCAATGTCGGCAATGCCAAGGTTCGGGGAGATGGGATTGGTAATAAAGGGGTGGTTAGCCCCCATTACTATCAATATACCCTGTCAGGCCAACCTCCACGCGGTATCCTTTGAAATCATCGTGATTAATTTATCGTAGAATTCATCACGATGGCTAACTGACCTGCCTTTTCATCCACACCAATCATTTCCCACTGGTGCCCCGCCAGTGTATACCGATATCACAAACAGGATTACTATTCAATTATCATCTATTATAAAAAAAAATACCAAGGTTCATGGTTTCTAATAAACGTTTAAGTGTCAATATAGAATTTAATTTTATATTTAGTAGGTACAGATTGATTGCTTTGCTACCATGTATCAATACTATATTAATAATATTTATAATTTAACTATATTCTGCTTTTTGTTTACGTTTTTTATCTTTTTATATTATCCCCACCTATACCAACAATCAGATTTGGAGAACAAAATCCATATTAACGCGAGCGAAGCCGCGGGTAAAAGCTAGTATTATATAATCGCCTAGTGGAGTATTTAGGATAAATAAAGAAAGATATATTTTTATTAAAATTCTTGCACACTATATAATGCACAAACTGACCTGCGTTGTGTAAGCATTAAATTATTTTAATTAACGCCGTCGTGAGCCATAAGAGAGCTTTTTTAATCCTACATCACAAGATAGCGTTGTATATTTTTTATTTATTTTACTAACGTAAATACCAATGTATGAATCTGCGTGGTACCAACATAGAATAGGCCATCCCCCTTCCTTTCCCGTGGGTGTCGTAAGAGGCGACTAAAGGAAGGCGAGAGATGGGCAGCAGCGTCCTCTTAAAACATCCCCAAAGCCTAACTGCGGTTGCCAATCCGCCTGCCAAGTGTGGCAACTACTGGCAAAAACCCCCAAGGGGGAGGCTTAAGATCTGGACAATTAAAAGCTGATATGATGATAATGATGAAATACCAATGTTGGTAATTTGTTTACTTAGCAGCTGTTAAAAATGTTCATGGTTTTAATAGCAACGTTACTATTTGTTTGAACTATTTTATATATATATATATATATATATATATATATATATATATATATATATATATATATATATATATATATATATATATATATCACTTAATTATATTACTGATTATTGTGCATGTCGTTATTTCACCATATAGATTATTTCTAGAACTATACATAAAAATTTCTCGTACTACAATTATTATATTCGATTGCCATCTTGCAACCCTATTGCGGGATATAAAAAATTCATTTAAAAAACATGGGTTGTTCGTAAAAGGGTGAAAATTTGAAGATGTATATACATACATCATATATATAAATATAGCATTGAAAATACTTTCAATGCTAAATCATAATAAAATAAAAATAAAAAAAATTGTCTAAAAATTATAAAAAAATATTTAGGTGTGGCTCATCCTTATCATTGAGGGGTATGAAAAATACACGTTGGCCGATTCTTAGACCTACCCGATATGCACACAAAATTTCATAAAAATCGGTAAAGCCGTTTCGGAGGAGTTTGGTAACAAATACCGCGACACGAGAATTTTATATATTAGATTTATCGTCGTTATCTCTAGTCTTCCTGATAGGAGATCCGCCTATTCTACATTTATGTATAAAATATCATCACTTATGAATCTTTTACAGCATTCTCAATATGTAAATGAAATGCTTTTTATCATTTATATAAGACAAAGTAATCTATTGAATGATTATAAATTTGTGACATCCCTATTCGAGTGAGGGGAAGTGGGGTACATAAGTGTCACTTTTGCCCAGATTATTTATTTTTGTACCCTTGCTTTATATTGGACCATATAGTATTTAAAGCTCAAACATATATATGATTAAATCGATATATTAAGTTGTTATTGTTACATTTAAATTGTTGTTTTTGAATTACAACTTTTTAATAATAATTTGAGTTAGGTTCAAGTTAAAAATATGTAATTAGGTATAAATAGTGATTATCATGATGGCCTCTTTTAAAGAGAGATACTTGCTCCGCAGTAGGAGTCAGTGGGACGTTAATGAAATGACAATTACGAAATAAATGACCACCATTTTGTCATCATGGAATTTAACTATAAATTATTTCATATGTATGTATTATCGAGATAAATTATACTAGATATAACCATTATCCAATTTCCTCAAAATGTAAACTTCTATATTCAACAAACCAATGTAGTAAATAGGATGAACTATGAGCGTCATATTGGCATATCAATTAATTAGTTACTTCTGTATATACATATAATTAAAGAACAAATATAATTTTATCAATCCATTCGCCGACTTTCACGTTTATAAATAAAGTTTCTAAATAATAATTAGCGTCCCTGCACTATACAGATAATAATAATAATTATAATTGAATATATAAACAAGATAGAATGGGTCAATAAATACAAATTCAGTTTTCCCGGATGTAAGAACAGATACGAGTACGTGGCAGCAGCGGTAGGGTTGCGGCACGGTGCGGTGATCCGTGGGCTGACGCAGCCACCGCTGTTTGCACTCCACGGTCAACATTGTTAGCGGCTGTCTCTCCTCTCCCGGCATTCCCGGCACACTCGGCTCGCACAGCAAATGTTATTACGTAATTAACCCCACGAAACACGTTACCGACTTGTGTTTGACCTCGCTCTGTTAATTGCCCACTTCGAAACTGCGCACTTCGATTATTTCGCACCAAATAAAGTTGTTAACTATATTATCTTTATCCATAATACTTGATATACATATATATTTATACAATAAAAAATGACTAGCCCAGGCTACGCTTTACTTATAAAGGACTATGATAATTGTAACATGTAATTAAATCGTACAAAACGAAAATCTTAAAACTTTTAATCCATGAAATAGAATAACATTTATTTAACATTTTTTTCCTAAACAAAATACCAAAATTAGGCATTTTTAAATTCGTAGAATGAAACTTGCTTAGTTTCAAACGCTTTTAAATAACATCTTATTATATTTTTAAAACATTTAAGATAAACTAACATACTATTCATCAGAGAATAAAGAAATAGGTACCACCTTCCATGAACACTCTCACACTAAAAGAATTGCAGGTGTATTGGTATAGTGTGTTCTAATACGTAAATACGGGGGGCGGGGGGCTAGTAATGAGGTATGAGCAATGTACTCTCTCAGGTGGACCTCTACGCGGTTCCTCCTGGAAACCATCATGATTAATTTTTGTCGAATTCATCATGGTGGGCCAACTGACCTGCATTCATTCTCACCGATTATCTTCCACTGGTTCCCCGTCGGTGTATACCGATAGCATTCATTAAAAAAAAATACGTAAATTCTTTTCTTGACGGTTTCAAAATCGCATCTGTTTGGAAACACTACTGCTAGAAGTTGATTTCATAGTAAGTATGGTAGTGCATAAAAGGATGTATCTAAAAACGCTCGTTTTTGAATTGTCACTTGTCTAAACGATCAGAATAAAACTTTTGTTTGTTCCTTAAGCAAAAATTTCACAATCAAAATACTTTAAGGTTTAGGTTCCAAAAATAAAACGAATCATGACAAAAATAATATAAAACCAACACAGGTGTAAATCGGTTTAAAGAATGGGATATGGTAGCGAATTAAAATGTACAGAGGCTTAACACCTTAGTCATCAGGAATAGCAAAATATCGGTATCATGAGCGAAACAGTATACGCTATTATGTCCATGATACTGCTCATGTTTATAGGCGACGGTTACCACTTTCCATCAGGTAGGGCGTCAGCTTGTTTACCATTCTAAGTTGCATAAAAGAAACCCTGAAAGTTGTACTATTATATACGTTTACGTCCGTGTATATACCGAACACTAATACTTCACCATCATCACCATCATATCATTCGGCTACTGCCCACTGCTAAAGCGTGGTTTTGCTAGTAGTTGCCACGCACGGCAGACTGATTAGCAACCGCAGTCAGGCTTTAGTGATGTTCTAAGAAAGACGTTACTGATCATCCCTCGACCATTAAGTTCCCTTATTCGTCTCTTACGACACCTACGGAAAAAAGGGGTGGTCTACTCTAAGCTGGTACCACACGGCAATACTTACTTAAATAGATTGCAATCAAAGAATTCCAATTTTAATAAATAAGATTTAGTGCATTCCAGAACTCTGTACAACCCATTAGTGTATCCATAGTTTATTATATCCTTATTATTTACCTAATTCGAATATAATCAAAAACTAAGTTAGGAAAAAAATTATTGGTTGAATAAAATACTCGTATAAATTTAAAATGAAAAAAAATCCACATAAGTACTTATATACCGTGCCGTTGTTTTATAAACAATAGACGGGGCACCCCGGTGAATGGTAAGTCGTCTCCCAGAGGCGAAACACGTTCGTGCGCTATCAAAGCCTCTTCATCAATTGATTCGACGCCATGCGGCTCTCATGAGGCCGTCGATCCTCTCTCTACGTACAGTTAAGACTTTCATGTATTCAAATAGCACTTACTCGTATACTAAATTCGTATCAAAGTAGACAGTACCTATACAAAATTAATAGAATTTCGATTAAAACCCCCCAAGGAAAATGCAGTAAATATCTATTAGATCATGAGGTAAGTATATTATACTGAATCTATGGTAAATACCCATTTAATGACAATTTTTGTTTGAAACTACTTTTAAATGTAATTTTTATATAAAACAGTTTAGGTTTAAATAATTAATACCTACCCAGATATTATTTTCCATTCCAATGCTAGCTGTGCCCGCTACTTCGTATGCGTGATCTGAATAAAAAGTTTGTTTGTAACACTTTATTGTAAAGTCTTAAATTATAGGATACAGAGTTTTTAAAAAAATAATAAGTACTATGGTGAACTTAACCCATAAAAAGAATTTCTTCCAGCCAATCTTTAAATGTCTGAAAGTAAATTGATCTAGACAAAAAAAAATAGAAAAAAAAGAGGCGTTACAGTTACAAAACGTGAACAACATTGATACTGGACAACATTGATTCTAATATTCTAAAAGAGGTACATAATTTTTATCATTCTCCTTGTCATATACCTACTAAATAATAGTTTGCAATAAGAAAATTATAAACACGGCAGTAGCTCGTTATCAGTGCGACTGATATGTTTCGACCTTAACCAAGATCAGATAACAGTTCGTCACCCTCTTACTTAACATATGTCGAGCATAGACAAGTTTTATGTTAAAAGTGTAAGTTTGAATTAAAGGAAAATTTCTTTATTAAGACGATAACAAACACAGGATGGGTTAATAAAAATAATACATAATCTTAAATATAAAATTATCTATATTTTTAAAAATACAAAAACTTTACAACATATTTTGTATAGAATTCCATATATGTTCATAAATGCATATACCTATAAAAATGATCATTTTTGGTGTAAAAAAGTGTGTTGCATTTTTACATAAATAGCATGATTTGGTATCAAAAATACATTCACAATTTTATTTTCTAATTAATAATATATATGCATATTCTTTTTTCAAATTGATTTCTCTCAAAAAATACGCGATATTTGGCAATTATTTCTTGTAGATAACGGTAAAACACTAAACAAAACAATATAATTATTAGTTTTATCGGCGACAGGAAAATTAGATATAACTAGTGATAGAGTTAAAAATAGAAAGATTAGTATAAGAAAGTGATAGCAACTAATACAAGTTGTGTATCTATTTTATACCAAATTATTATCTTTTATTTAGATGTTTTTCTGATTGTTATCTAAAACTGTACCGAAGAGCAACTTGTCGATCCAGTCCAATATACCGTGTGCATTTTTCCTTACATTATCCATTTAATATAAAAAATATTTATATAATAAATATTTAACAATGTATATGCATGCGTACTTATTAAAAAGTATTTTATGTACAATATAAATTTCCGTTTTGCTGACAAGTTTCACTTATCACTATTTATATTTTCTAATAGGCACATTCAGTCTTGCGTTGGCTTCTTGTAAATTCATAATCCAAATTCATAGGAATGATATTTAATAAATTTAAAAATTAACTATAATAAATATAAATGCATTTATAAAAATAAATATATTCTGCCGTGATATTTAAAACCTAAAAGGCATTCATTAGTTATTAATTAAAGCGTAGTTGAATAAATTATCTATTTTAATTGTATATCATACTACTATGTAACTATCATGCGAAAAAGCTATGTATTAATGGATCCAACGCCTTGCATTATAAATTTGTTACTATACACCACTAACTACGTAAATAGATATACACCACATAATAACAATTAACAAAATAATTCTTAAACTACTTTTCTGGCACGTTTTTTGTCGCTTAACATAATTATTCTTTGTATTCTCAAGGCATTATTCTGAAAATATTTATAACGAAATATTACAAAACGTAGTTATTGGATAGCAAACATAATTCCATAATAAATTCCCTGTTATATCTAAAAACGATTCAAATACTAGGTTAACTACAATACTAAATAATCTATAAGAATGTTTATTCATAGCACTCATTAATTAAATTCAGGCAACAATTTCACAACAATGGTATAAAGTAAAAAAAATAAAAAAAAAAACAGTAAAATAGTATTAATAATTAGTATAAATAAAACATTTGTGAATTACAATTACATAACTATGTACTGCCGACTGATTGACGACATTTCGTTTACTGCATATTGCAGTGAAATCATTCGACGAACAATAAATTAATTGTGCCTAATTATATAACTCACTTCAAAATGGAGAGGTTTTCAAATCAAATTTCTTTTTCTGTTTGTATATTATACAATATCTTCGCAAACTGAGAATCGACTTAATGATTCCATTTCAATCGAAAGAGACAAGTATTTGTCTTAAACTGCGTAAAGATTTAGTCAGTTTTTTTGTTCTAATTATAAATTATTAACTACTATATCTACTCGGAAAATGTATCATTTGGATAATAGAGTTGAAAATATATCGTGATCTTTGCGAAGAAGAAATTAAAGCAAATTCACATTTTTTTTTTTATATTGGAATGAATGAATAAAAAAGGAAAATTCTTCATTATACCTCTCAAAAAATGGTAAATGTTATACAAAATATATAAATGTGTATAAAGACAGAACAGTTCACTTCATCTACCTTGTAAAAAACTAGACAGAAAAATGTAGATAAACAGCAAATAGACATATGATTATTTATGGCATAGTTTTTAAAAATATACTTTAGCTATTGTATTGACAAAATCAGAGCATTATGGAAATAAATACACAAAAAGTCTAATAGTTACATGACCAATACAATTTGCCTGAGGAGATTATAATAATTGTTTTTTTTTTTTTTACAATTTATATAACTTTCAAAGCCTATTTTTCCCCGCTCCCGCCTTATATTTCCCTTGTAGATGTAGTGTAAAAAACGTAAACCACGTAATTAATCTATACTATAATTACTTTCTACATTTGGTAAACAATGTAGCCATAATATAATTTGAAAATAAATTCGAAATTATTATTAGCGAAGAATGTACTGCAATCAACTTATTTCAGTATAAAAATAAAGACGAAGGGAAAAATGATTCGTTAATGCCATTGGCTGAATACGAATTCGTTGCAACCTACAGTAACTACGAAATATTATAAATCAGGTCGTAACTTCTGTATATTTGTCATGGAATAATTTCAATTAGATATTATAAATGACGCTTATTGTTCTTGTGTTGGTGTAAAATGAGCCAAAGCATAATCGTGATAGTACATCATGATTGCGAGTGGCTGACCAAGAATGAGCGAGCTCCACACGATGATGTTGCCCCAGCGGGGGCCCCACCTATTTTCCGCGAAGCGAGATATAACAGCTAACGGTGGCTGCACCATCATGCCCAAAAACGCCCAAATTCTGAACATTTGCAACGGTACGCTCACCTGTAACAAGTGTGTTAGATTAAATACCTAGTGGCACCGAGATTCGTTCATAATGAAATAGAATTTTCCTTGAAATAAACTAATTTAAATCAGTTGTTACCTAAACATATGCCAGCATTAGATAGTGAGGAAAAACCAATAGGGTGGTCAGATACACATATCTTATCGACAACTGAAACATAATATGTGTTTCAGTCAATGCCAGGATTTTCTGATAAAAGAAATAAAACTCAGAGTTCTCAATAGTGATAACACATGCAGAGTGTCATATTTATTAATACAGTAACTTCTGCAAAAATTTAAAATAATGCGTAACATATCAATAATTAATTGCATTACTCTAAAATTATTAGCATAAAATAAAACATGAATAAACTCATAAAAGATTGTTATTTATTATTATATTTTTTACAGAATGTTACTGAATTTTTATGTGAATGTTATGTGAAATTAGAAAATTTCAATAATTATAAACCTATTTTAAAAGTTTATAGCAATTTATTAAGTTGCGATAGTTCAATCAGTGGACGGGTTGTATTAGATCCTATAATCAAATACCATCTCCTAGCTCTGAAGTTTAGAAGAAAAGACATGATTGGTGGCAGTAGATGGTAGTCCGATATATTATATTATACTTTTTTATTGTACTCACCAAATATTCATGGAATAAAGCCGATATGCAGAATACAACAACACTAGCAACAACTTTGCTATGGCCTCTTTCCGTGATAGGTATGTACACGTGGCGTACAGCCCACCTATGCACCGGTAAGTTCCAACTGCTCCAAAAAACGGCTATGTTGTTTGCATTCCACCAGTCACCGTAGAAGTTACGATCAGCAAAATGCAGCAGCTCACCCAACAAGTTCAGGAATGAATGGAAACACAGGTAGAAGAAGCACAACCAAATGAGATGATTTGGCACCTGTAAAAAAATATATCAGTTGTTTTAAAATAGCACTATAAAAATATAGATTACAATTAGATGTACGATTGGTGACTCGAAGGAGTTTTTTTTTTTTTCTGAAAAATCATAATACACATGAACCTTAAGATATAATATAATAATTATATTATATAATAATAATTAAAAATCACATAATAATGGCTAAATTCGACCACCAATTTCCAAGTGATATATGTACAAATGAACAATTTTTAATTTTTATTTATATAGATAATAAATTTATTTATATAGATATAAATATACCACCTACTTAATTTTCCGTTTCGCTCATATATATATATATATATATGTACCTATATTGCATTGAAGTTTAAATCACTACATAGTACAAAATAAAGTCGTTTTCCGGTCTGTACCTATGTATGCTTAGATCTTTAAAACCACACAACGGATTTTGATGATTGTTTTTTTTTTAATAGATAGAGTGATTCGAGAGGAAGGTATTATATAAATCGTACATGCATAATATAGTAGAGAAACAGAGATAATTTTAGAGGTCTCTAATGTGATGTGATGTAATGTGCACCAGAGCGAAGCCGGGACGGGTCGCTAATAAATAATAATTTAACTTAAGACGCATGAATATTAGATAAGTCTCCGAAACTGTTTATTTCGACCTTTGTGGAACGTGGTATCATTTAGGTACATACAAGAGACATAAATATATATCTAATAATAATTAGGTTCACTATCATGACCAATGTATCACTTCAATATTAATATAAATAAAAGTTAACGCTAACAATCACTAGTTGGTTTGTTAATAATTCTAATCTACTAACTTAGAACTGATTTAGTCTAGTTATGTACCTACTTTACGTTATTGTCTTGCGATATACCCTAAGATAAATGATCTTGTGATTAATATGTTATTGTTAATCACGTTTACTGCTATTATTTGTTATCATCCGTCAGAATCTTTTCTACAGATTTGTAATTTATGATAAATCATATCGTTCTTGTAGTGTAATCATGCTAATCAATTAAGAAACTAACCCATTAATCTAAACATCCGACAATATATAATGTTAAGATGTATCCAATCGTATATATAATATAATAAGGCCTTACATTATTCTGCAAATACGTAGTAGGTATTTGCGTATTTAAATATTTTTAGTTCCTAATTAATATCTGCGACATTAATTGATAATTTATATTATTATTCTTCATATCAATAACTCGAGTAACATAACAAGCACCCTCGATAATATTCAAATTATAAGAGTTAATATACATCTATTTTTTTTTATGGATACACATAGAAACTAATATATAAGCAATAGAACATACACTAGTCTATATCTAATGTGTGTTTGTTATATTACGACTAAAAAATAGCTAAATTATATCAGCTCAGCAAATCATGAGATATACCTATATTAAGTGATTTTGTACAATGACCCGCCACTTTTCCATAGAACATCTTTTTTAATTTGAAATCATATTTACAAAAAGGGTACCTAAATGAATTGTGACTATCATGCTCAATAACGTGAACAATGAGCTCAACTAGTTTGATTTTTTTTATACAACTTAGAATGGCAAACGAGCTGCCGGCCTACCTGATGGAAAGTGGTAACCGTCGCCTATAGATATGAGCAGTACCATGGACATAACAGAGTATACTGTTTCGCCCATGATACCCCCCATGCGTTGCCATTCCTGAGGACTGAGGTGTTATTCTTTTGTACCCTGTAAATTCACGCCATATCCCACCCTTCAAACCGAAACACAGCCATGCAAAGACAACTGCTTCACGGTAGAAACACGAATGGGACAGAGGTATCCAAGCAAACGACTTTTGTACAAAGTCCCTGGTAATAATATAATCTATCCACATGCATTTATCCATTTCTACATAGTAAGCCAGTGTATTGTGGAGCTGGTTTGATTCTTAACCGCCTGATGTTTCTTCCGACACTAAATCAGCACGTAATGAAATATATAATTAAAAATGTTTAAACTAGTTTCGAAATTTTCAAAATGTTAAAATCCCTTTGAAAAATGTCGTATTAATTTGAAACCTATCTTAATATGACAAAGTGAGTTTGTTTGTTTGTTACTTTCTTGACATAGTAACGGCTCAATCAACTGTCATAAAATTAGTACATATTTATATATTATATAGTACTTGAGGATAGAGAGAAGATCATAGTCTACTTTTTATCTCGGTAAATCAATGTATTATGGTCAGACAGATGAAACCGCGGGTAATAATTAATAAAGGTATAAATGTTGAATTTAATATTAAAAAATAAACATATATATATTTACCGCGAGTTTCAATAACCTCTCCGTCATCTTCATGGCCTCCATTTGGGAGAACGTATTTACAGAATAAGTAAGGGAAGGTATCATCCACTGCTGGAGTAAAGCCAATACAAGTTGTATTCCAACCATCACTTCCAGTAGCCTTTTAATTAGGAATCTTTTTCTGATACTGAAATAAATATTAATACATAAATTATTATTATTACAAAAACAATTTTCAAGGTGCTCAATTATATATATATATATATATATATATATATATATATATATATATATATATATATATATATATATATATATATATATATATATATATGTATGTATTTGCACGGTGCTCCGGTTTGAAAAGCGATAGAATTACGCATGATGACGATGGTACGATAAACTCAACATAAATCTCAATGGTACTATTTTATCCATCCATTTATGCCGATTCTAAGTCAGATGTGGTAATATTTTTAATGGATAAATATAAGTCTAAAACTAAATAGAAAAAAACTAAAACAAAATTTGACAAAAGTCAGAAAACATCTTAATTCTAAAACGATGAAATCAAAAAATATTTTTAATATAAATTCTTAATGTATTGATGTAAAAATAATAGAAAAGGAAATAAGTAGGTAAATTAGCAAAAAAACAAAAATTATAACTATTTTATAAATATCAGTTAGAAGGTAGCTAAAATTTAAATTTATTTTCCTCTACTACAATGCGATCATAGTGGAGAACTAGAAGAGCATGCAGCTTTCTCGTATTAGGTTTATTAGACAAAAAAAAAACAAAACTTAGGATGTGTGTGCAGGACTAACCGTGAGGTTCGTGGGAAGTTAAGTTCATAGCACAGGGTAGGAGCCAGTATAAAGTAGAAAAGGTCCTTCAGTGTTAGGTTATCGGGATATTTGACCAAACCAGCCGCAACGGCAGCATCACTTTTCTCATCTTCAACAGTCTCTGTAGATCAATGTTATCCATCAATAAAACTTTAGTTAGGTACAGAAAAGCTTAGGTTTATTCAAACAATAAAAAAATATATACTTTATTATTACATACATTGTATTATTCTTAGAAAAGGTTTGCTAATCTAAAGTTAAGGAAAAAAAAAATAGCAAGACTAAGAGAGTATGTTTACCCAGATGCTTCACTGTATTAAAATATGAATATTTTGCCATTATAATTTAAAGCTTTAAAACATGTAAGTAAAATCTACATATACAAATGGTGGCCTATATGCGTTCAATACCCACAATCAATCAATCAATAATTTATTTGCATAAACATAGGTACAGTTAACAATTGATTACGAATATTTTATATTGCTCAATGTCTCCGAAACACCTCTTCACACATTTATGGTTAGATGATTATTTAGAGTGTTGAACGAACGAACAGAGCCAGCCAGCACAAGACCAAACCAAAACTATTAAATTAATTAAAACCAAAACCACAACCATGGAAGCTATGCAAAAAGTGTTTTAAAAAATGTAATGATGAAAAAAATTATTTTTAAATGCGATAAGAAAATAATACATACATATAATATTTAACAATATGAAATAGTGATGACAATAAAGATTATGATGAAAATGTTGAAAATACTAATCATGATCTAATTATATCATCATTATTTGGATAAAATCTATCAAAAATAAATTATATAATATTACTATTCATAAAACCGATAACAAAACATAATATAAAAAAGGTTTATTAAAACCTTCACTTTTATCAATTTATCATCATAACAATATACATAGATAACTTTAACTATGATAAAACAAAAAATATATTACATAAAAAACAGTTATATTTTTTTTATACAACTTAGAATGGCAAACAAGCTGACGACCTACCTGATGGAAAGTGGTAACCGTTGCCTATAGACATGAGCAATACCATGGACATAACAGAATATACTGTTTCGCCCATGATACCCCTCATGCGTTGCCATTCCTGAGGGCTTAGGTGTTATTCCTCCGTACCCAGTAAATTCACGCCGTATCGTACCCTTCAAACCGAAACACAGCCATGCAAACACAACTGCTTTACGGTTGAAACACGAATGGGACAGAGGTACCCAAGCAATCGACTTTTGTACAAAGTCTCCCTCTGGTAAATATATTTATCCGACAATTTGTCCACTTGACCGAGACGTGGTTCACTTACTAGGATAAAAATGAATCTATGTCCTTCTTCACCCATATAGTAGGTATTTGAATACCAAATTTCAGTGACTGGCTAGCAAACACACTTAAATTCACATTTATAATAAAAAATATTGACGAAGTAACATTACCTAAGTTATAAGACAAAACATAACATAGTAGTTCAAATAAATATACAATGAAGATTGGCGATAAATATAATGAAGTGATACTAAAGATGATGATACAATAAAAATAAACACAGATTTACAGCTCATATTATCTAACAATGAAATAAGTACCTTCATAATAAGGGCTGAAGCTGAAAATAAAGCGAATAAGCCGTTAGCAGATCAATGATGAGTAAGCTGGTTAAAAGAAAATTAATGCCTTTAATTTATTTGCAAACGCATTTAAAAGAAAAAATAGATAAATTTTATTATAACGCAATATTATAAAGCTATAAAATATTCGAAGATGTAACGCAAAAGCATTAGAAACTCAATACACTTAGATGTTACAAATTCAACTTACGATCGTGTTCGGCGTTATTGAGTGCATCTGTAAATATAACAATATCCTTTAGAAAAGAATTATTGTGCCCCAATTTGATAATACATAATCATCATCATCACATCTGTCGTTAACTGTCTACTGCTGAACATAGGCCTCCCCCATAAGAGAGGTTTTACCCGTAGTTGCTATGCTCGACAGGCGTGTTGGCAACCGCAGTTAGTCTGTTAAAATCCCTTAATCGTCCCTTACAACACCCACGGGATAGGAAAGGGTAGCCCGTTCTATGCCGGAACCACACGGTAATACATAATCGAAATAGAATAATGCACGCAATATTTTAAAACGATTATATGAACAATGTATAAAGGATTTAATAATACTTATACCTTAAAGCGGAATTATCTTAATAGCAAATACAAATACAAAAATACTACGAATTTAATAATACAGCTCAGTATCTTCTATTCTTATTATATTTTAATAAATTTAAAGTTGACTTCTAGCTGTACTTACGGGATATATAAATTTAAATAACTTCAAAATAGGTATCTAATTGTTAAAACTATTTATAGTCGATATTCAATATATATTTGATTATCGAAATCTACTTATTCTGTGTTATATAATTCGTTATCGCCAATGATAATAACTACATTTATTGCCAACTTAATAGATTCCATAAATCATTGTGGTAAAAATAGATTACCTTCATTGTTTTATTAATCCTAAAAAATACGTCATAACATTTCAATGGGTAGATGCGTGTGTTAGAATCTAAAAAAATACGTTCATATCCTTTTTTAATTGTCAATAATTGCAAGTAATATCACAATTACTTGCAATTATAATTAATAAGGAATATCTTTGCATAATATAGTATGACAACATGCGACGATATATAGTGCCAGATAAAGAATACGATGGTTCTTTCCATTCTCAGAATGTAAGATTTAATAAGGAACACATCGGATAATTACATGGTGCTCTTATTTAAAATTTGGATCACCACTCACTCTCGCTCTCTCTCTTTCCTTAAGTAAATTTGTAGCATTCCCTACACCCCCCACCACTCTTAGGTGATATAGAAATAATTAAATTTAATGCATAAATCCCTATCAATAGTTTTTTTCCTGAACGGTAAATTCCATGTAAGAGTGTAGACAAAGGGAGCCCGCACCAACTCCCGCAACATCGCGCGTTTTCTATCTAAAAGTGTTGAATAAACAAAGACTAATTATGATAATTGATTGTTCATTTAAAAAGGATTACCTACTATCATGTATATTAGTAATAAGCAAACAATAAGTTGCTTTGTTCGATAATAACTTTCGGACTGAAATAATCTTAATTAGTTTCACAAAAAGTTGAATGACATGTAATAATTTACTAATGAAACCAATTATTTCCTATATGAGAAATCATTACATTAACTAATAATTCTGTATAATTTTTGTCTTCAATTCTGTTGTAATAATTAGGTAGGTATCTATTATTTACGAGTGAATTCCGGTAAAAATTTAAAGGTCACCGCCGCTTTATAACTACCTGAGGACATCGTAGGTTGTTTAAAGAAATATAAAGATTGGTAGCTACGCCCCCGAAACATAAAATACTATTGTAGTTGCCAACCCGCCAAAAGGTAAGCATCAAAAGAAAATTGCGCACATAGTTCCCCACTGATCCACTATTCTTAACCATAGTAAGAACTATGGAAAATTCGAAAACTCTCCACCAGATATTCAACAATCATCAAAAATGGCAGGATCTAGAGAATAAAATATACGGATTGAGAATTAAGACGCCTCGTCACATACAGGTTATTAAAACGCATTGTCCATAATACAACATCAGACTTCTAACCTACATTTTATTTATCACATTTATTATTATTTCTGACATCAAAGAGCTAAATAACTTAGATAAATTACTACATATAGATATACAATATATCTGCTAAATATTATAATGGATGTTGTAAAATATTTTTTCGTTGTTTACAACAGAGCTCGAAACTTTTATCAAAACAATGAGAAACTAAACATACAATTACAAATACACAACATTTATTTAAACATAAAACAGCATCCGTTTAACGTATAGAGTATATTAATTTATGCGTAATTTCGGTATAATATCGCATTATGGCTTCATGACCCGGTATCTTAACTTGCCTAATCTGCTATGATTAATGCTCAATGATTATGAAATGTAATAAGATACTGATAAATTAACCACCGATAAATTGTAAAGTATTGTGGTATTCAGTTTAAATATAACAATTAATGTTATCTTTACTATTACAATGTTTGAATATTACTAAAGCGCTATTCCTACAGCGCCGGCCTTTCCTTTCCTTGAATTTATATATTACGTTAAAGGCTAACCACCAGTTTTTATAAGATGAAAATGCGCTGTAGGGGGATCAGTGAGAGACGAAAGGTAAGAATAAAATCAGGCCCGATTGTTTCCAGAGGAACCGCTTGGAGGTCGACATACTAGCAATGGGACCGCTTTACCCCCTTACTGACAATTCCTTGCCCCTCCACTAGACATCCATTAACGTAAAATATTAGAGAAATCGGTATCAATTTACTTCGACTTTTTGTGGCACAGATACTTGAAGTAATCTTCAAGTAAAAATTGACAATATTGCATTATAAGTCTTTCTGAATACTGCAAATTTCTCTTTACATAAAACACGACAAACTATATACAGGCTGAATTCGAAATCATTAGCATCCTTTTAACGGAATACTCAAACAGTGAAACTGAATACTTTTCCCGAAGGATCTTGGATAGACAAATGACAAAAAATTTAGAGCCGCCCATACTAAGATTGCGCCCAGCTGTGTAATATGTAAAAGTCATATTTTTACATACTACACATTGACACCATAGCATGGGTCAATATCACCATAACAAAAAAACATAAGAAAACATTGAGGGACCGGATGCAAATATCTGATACGGAGTTATACGAACAAATTCTTTCAAATGTAGTACAAAATCAATTTTTCCCGTCCCTGTACAACATTACCGGGACACTGCTCGGTATAGCATAAACTGCGCATTAATTTATAAAAAAAAAATATTAATGTCACTTACTCCAATTAGGTGCAGATAAGCTTTGTCGCCGCAATTTAGTTTTCGACGTTTTCCCTTTAAACGCATTTCGGCACCAATGATTAGTTTGACTATAACTCCATAGTTTGAGAAACAATATTAAATAAACGAAGCACACAGTTGTTGTTCCAACTGGAAATAAAGAATTTCAGATGTACAATTTATATAATCATATATTTTATATAAATACATATACAGAAAGTGAAAGTATTACCGAAACTGAAATCATCGCCTTTAAAATAAAGTACGATAACAGGCAATGTTATCACAAATAGTATGTTGGTTACTTGCAAAAAAATACCAATGGATTCAGAAAGTATGCCCTGAAAAAAAAAAATACATTTTCAATGCAATGTGTTTCATGTACTTATAAAACAAGATAATTATTTATTACATTGATTTAAAAAGTGGCTAGTGCTATGTAATATAATGATCAAAGGTTGATTTGAAATTATAAGTAAATGATAAAGTTATTACTAAATAATTACTCGTCTAGAACTTAGTCACAATTATTAGTCGTAATACTTAATCAATTATAGGAAAATTGTTTGTAATAACACATGAACGAATTATATTTTCTTTTTATTTAATTATAAATTCTTTATAAGGAAATCTATTAGTCTATTTCACATTTTTTTTTATTGACTAAATTACGAAACCGTTGAGAATGACAATTGAAAAATAGGTAAACTCATTAAAAATTTTACGTAAAATCGCGAATATCATATGAAAATTAAGAAATATAACTTACTACTGCAATACCCTTTTCAATCAAAAGGCCCAACACTGTGGGAACCACACAAACTGGAAAAAAAATAATACAAATAAATATATATAATTATATATACATTTTCAATGTTTATATACTGAGACATAGCCAAGCATCTATAAATAATCTTATACAAACTTTATAACTTTAAATCATTTTTCCCTTGTATGTAATCCAGTCAATGACTAGGTTATCATTAGTACCTTATCACTCGTGATTATTTACTGAATGTTTAAATAAACTAAGTGTATCATTTTTATAGCTTGATCAACATAACAATATTAAACTAATACCCTTATGATTTTTCTATAGTGCCCAGTAATGAGACAATATCTAGTTGGTATGGCATTAAATCTTTTTTATTTAATACTTGTACTTTGAAGTAGACATATGATAGTAATGCAGTACACTAGAATGGTACTCCACATCTCCTTTCCTCATACTAATTCCAATAAAATACCTACATATCAACAGAACAACTGCAGGGTATTGACGATTCAGTCCCTCCTGTCCCTCACTGTATCCAGTTAATACAATGAACCATTCAATTGGGTTAACACGTAAACCATATCTGTAAATAAACAAACATTACTCAAACATACCTATAAAAATTTGGACAGACTATTAAAAATATCATAGGTTTTAAATGTACTTATTATATTTTGTTAAATAATAAGTATTGTGAGTAATACTGTATATATAATTTTTTTTATACAACTTAGAATGGCAAACAAGCTGACAGCCCACATGATGGAAAGTGGTAACTGTCGCATATAGACATGATCAGTACCATGGACATAACAGAGTATACTGTTTCACCCATGATACCCCCATGTGTTGCTATTCCTGAGGACTCTGGTGTTATTCCTCTGTACCCTGTAAATTCACATCCATATCGCACCTTTCAAACTAACACAGCCATGCAAACACAACTTCTTTATGGTTGAAATACAAATGGGACAGAGGTAGCCAAGCCAATAACTTTTGTACAAAGTCTACCTCTGGTATAAAATTCATAATAAGTTGACATCTATATATTATTATTCTTATGTCAGTTTAATTAATAATGGTATATGTGGAAGGAAAACAACTTTATATTAATACAGTTAGCTAATATTAGTTCATTATGTATTCTTAATCAAGAGTGGACCTCAGAATGAAACTTACATCTAATTAATATATTCTGTCAATAATTATATTAAAACTTACTTTATTAAGTTCTCAAGAAACAACCGGAATCCTCCTATGAAAAGCAACAGGAATCCCCAGTTTACTAGGCCAGTGAAGTTTGTAAAATTTGAACTCCATGAGAACAATGAATCACGTGGTTTGTGGCACCTATTCAAAATTATGTTATATTAATTGTCAATATAGGGGAAAAATGAATTATTAGTAATGGGTAATAACAGCCCCATAGCTAGCAATATCAAGTCGACCTCTATGCGGTTCCCCCTGGAAACCATTGTGATTAATTCTTGTTAAATTCTTCATGATGTGCCAACCTTCATCTTAATCTATCATCTATCACTGGAGTCCCGCCAGCATATACTGATAGTGCAGGTACAGTTACCATTCCTTTTTCACCCATTAAAAAAAATAGTCAATATAAAAAGTTTTGGTTTTCCACAATATTTACTACATTTTATTTAGTAAATAACTTTAGACTACAACTGTCATTATCATATCCCACATAGTAAAATCAGATCCCTTCCCCTAAAATCTTTTAAAAATCAAATAAAAAGTTCTTTCAAAAATTCCAGTCACCAACACATAACGTGTGGCTACCAGTGCGAAAAGTGCAAGATTGAAGACATTGAGAAAACCAGCAGTGGCTAGATATAGGCTGAAATGATGATAATGAAGTAACTTTAACTGGATTACTTTTAACTTGTATAAGATGTGAAATCACTTAAATGTTTATTACTAGTGTTTAAGAGCATCTTTTGTACTTCAGAAAAAAATTGTTCATCAATGAGAAGGAAGTACCCAATATATTTAGCATATTAATAAATCATAACAATAATAAAATATTAATAATAAAATTTATAATATAGGAAGTTTTTCATTTTAAGGTTAAGTTATAAAAAAATATCCTCTGATACATTTCTTCTCCTTGGAGATATAAGTGTCAACAACCAATCAGACTGATGGGCCATATATTAATTGTCCAATTGTGGTATAAAATAAAATTAAACAAAAAACGCACAAACTGTTTCAAAAATTATTATTTTCATATACCTAGGCTTTTCTTACACAAAAATTCTTTCAGAGATTCTTATTGAGATTTGAAAGTTTTTCGTTGTACAAATATAGACTATTTTAAAGAACAAACCCAATAAATATGTAGTTCAATATCAAAATACCTACGGTTTATCATATTGTAGCTTACGGACTCTTTTCTCTTGTTCCGTAATTTCCTCTGCTCTTGTAACACTTTGAGCTCTCCTATATCGTAAGGATGATTCTTCGGTATCACTAGTCATTTTTATAGTATTAGTTCCAATTAAAAAATGCGGAATAGAAACACCAGCAAGGTTAATAAAAAGTTTCAATTATTTATTTATTCACCAATCACATATCCATAATATTGAGTTAGTCCCTAAATCCACAATTCCTCACAGAGTGTTGCCTCCACGAATTACAAAAGTAAAATCGCAAATATACAAAATAAATTATTTTGATTTATGTAGGAACTTCATTCATATAAGTAACAAGTGGAGGAAAAAAACAGAAAACATTTACAACTACCTACCTAGACACTTAGTAAACTTTTTTTATAACATGATTGACACAGAATGATCCACAGATTAGAGAGACTAGCGTTGGCCACTTTACTAATCCGATTACTAATTATTCGAGTGAGTAAATCATTACGATAATTCGAATAACTTTATATGAAATGTCTACTAGTTTTATTCATCCTACTACTAATGTCGTTCGACTACTAATATCATCGACTACTAATTTCATTCATTTAACAGTTGTTGATGCACAAGTCGATACGAACATAGCCGAGTCAATCCGAATGTTAGGAGGGGTGGGGGGTACGAATAGTACGAATGGGGAGGTTAGTCCCCATCACTATGAATATACTTTATCAGGTCGACCTCCACACGGTTCTCCCTGAACACGAATTGAACGATAAATTTGTCACGATGGGCCTACGGATTTGCATTTTCATCCTCACCAATCATCCCTCGCTGATGCCCCGCCAGTGTATTCCTATTATGTATCTATTATCATCCATCAAAAAAAAACCGAAAGTTGGAATGTCTTTTTTTTAATGGGCAAGAGTGTTACCAATTTAAATTGAGTAAAAATTACCAATTAATTTTCTTTTAGTAATAATATAGTAGTAAAAGATACAGAGAATGGACTATGTTGTAATTAGTTAGTTACTAATTGGTAAATTCGCGCATCGCTAAGAGAGACTATGTCTTGGGTAGTAGTAATAGTAGTATTAATTTAGCCACAATAAGCAAAGGAACTAAGGAAACAGCCTGGTCTTTGGTTAATAAGTTTGAATAACCATATTTTAATAAGGCAAAATTGCCGTACCTTTTTTAGAATCCTTTAGAACGGCTACAAGTCATAAGTTTAAAATTTTAGAATAAATTGTGTATGGAAATAACTTCTTTAAGAGAAACGAGTATATAATTTAAATATTTCAATGACTAAAAGAGGAAATAAATGATTAAAAGACAAGGACAGAAATCGAAAACAAAAGATGATAGAAAAAAAGTAGAATAATATGATAGGTTTACTATGGTGACCAATAATACGCCACATTCTTTTATAATTGTCCAATTATTGCAGTAAAATATTAAAAAATAGGCATAAAAAACTTCAAGATGGCGGAATAGTCTTTTTTATAAATCTTTGCTGCCAAATAAACTTAATACTTGAATGATGCTAAACGGGATTATCGTAAGCTATGAAAGCTAACACGCCCTTTTTGAAAAATCATGTACCGTAGTCTCTAAGCTAGCTCTCTCTTCGTAAGCCAAGGGTTTCTGCATATTTCATTATTTATTCCTGTATAGAAATAAGGAGATCCATAAGTCAGGGCGATATATATATATATATATATATATATATATATATATATATATATATATATATATATATATATATATATATATATATATATATATATATATATATATATATATATATATATATATATATATATATATATATATATATTAATCTTTAGAATATTATTATATTATAAAGCAAAACAATTTTTTATATTTATCATTTTTAACAAAACAATTTATTATATTTATGAATATATCTTTAAATATTACTGAGTAATGAATATGCCTGCAGAATTATTATTTTGGTTGTGTTATTAAGCATTTTGAGTATTTTGATATGGAATAGTTAATTCTAAAATTGTTCTCCAATCAAAGATAGTACATATTATATAACACAAAAATGGCAACAATATAAAGTTTTCCATTTTCGTAATTCACACTGAATCCACAATGATGATATCTAAATATCTATTTTCAAACTACAAAACATTTTCCTGTGATACTTCTCGTAAATATTATATGTACGCCCTGTTATTTATATATTTTACTAAACTAGGTGTTATCGTGTGGAAGTTAAATTACTGTATATAGTATATGTACCGTATATAGTATATGTGAAGGTAAGTAAAGGTAAATATTGGCAGTCACACATATACTAATGGTAGTGGAATTAAACAAAATAACTCTAATCAAATAACCCTGTTACCTAAACGTTTCTTTCTTTGAATTTTATATTTTATTTATATAAATGTTCTTTAAAATCTCTATTTTCAAAATGTTGTCATATTTGACATCACCATTTGCACATTAATAGATAATATACCGAAGTAATGTAAATAATTTATTATTTAAACTTGACAGATCATAACGTCTGTAAATACTTAATAAAAAAACTGTGAAAGCACATAACACTAAATTACAAGAAAGAATAATACATAGAATATATGACACTATTGGCTAAAAATGCCTCTGAGGTAATTTCAATAAAAATTCTTTAAAAACTAAAATGCCAGTTTTAAAGCATCAGCTTTACATAATCGCTTTTTGTAGAATGAATTTCTATTAAACGCAAATCATCGTTATTCAAATAGACTTGTTAAAACTACTTTAAAATCGTCATATTTTTATGAATATAAGTCAATAATATTGCATCCTATCACTTCTATATAATACCTATAAGTCACATTACTGTTATGTTGATATATAACTTTCATTGCATTTTAAGTGTCAAATAGTAGATACATAAACGCAGAACTGTCAGTTTACGTCATTTTTGATATATTTCAATCAAAACTATTGGCAACAGAGTTACATTACATAATCATCCTGCAGAGTTACATAATCGCCCTGAACTAGGTGTTATCTATCTTGCAGTTATTTAATCAAATAACCAGTTTTAATTCTTAGTCTATGTTAAAAACTTGACTGATGACTGATAGGTACAAATGTACATAAGATTATATGTATATAAGATGGAAGGCTGACTAACGACCGACCAATCCTATAATAGACTTTTATAGAGATGGTCAATCAGTTATTTATTCGAATATTTAAGTACTCTGTAATAAAATTGTAATTTTTAACGAGTTTTAGGTTTTGGTCGATATTCGAGTACTTGTATAAACAGAAACATTGAAGTGACCATTCCGAATGCAAAAAATTAAAATCGATATATTACAGAGACACTTAACAAAACTTTCGGTGGTTACCATTCTTTTAAAAATGAAAGAAATATACTGCAACGTTGTCATTCAAATTTTATGTTTGACTACCTTTTATACGGATATTCGTGCGCGTGGATATTAGAAATATAAAAACCAATAAAATAAACGTCTTGATAGCGTATCAACACATATATACTACATTTTTAGTTAGCCCTTAAAAAGTAAAACTGTAAAAATTTCGTTCAATTTGATGCAGTAATTTTTATGTGATGCCGGAACAAACGTACATTTTTTACCTATGGCTATTTCATATTAGTGTTCGTTAAAACAAATTTAGTATTTAGTTTAGTAAATATAATTTATTTTTAGACAGATATATTCTAGAGCATTCTGTTGTTTAATTTTATTTCTGTCTACGATGTTTATAATATCATGACGTATATATTATATTTAAGAGTCTTTCTATTTGTTCATATTTACGTACCTCATCAGGCTTAAGTACTTTATAACTTAATTTTCAAACTCACTTTTGATAAAAATAATAAAAACGTTAAATCATATAATAATATTTAAGAAAAACAATGATGAAACATAAACCTAGGATATAAATGTTATCTCTCACATTAGATTAGAGCTAAAGCTAAGAAATACAATTCAGATCTTGGGCTATGCAGCAGACGTTGAAAACAAAGATGAATCGCCTTCTAGATTGATTTTAGATAATTGGAATTAACGCAATTAACGAATTAAATGCAACTGCAAAGTCACTGAGGTTAACACTCATAAAAAAGAGAATTTCTAGGAGTGTCAATCTTTACAGTTTCTTTGGCTTCAATGTTGAGTCTAAAAGAGCATTTTCAGCTACAGGGTACATAATATCGATTGACGTTTTTTACGTGTTTCTCTTTTTCCAATAAAAATGTTTTTCCAAAAAGTACCTAATATTTTTAAATACACAATCGGGACTTAACGCGATGAAAAAGCTTTTGTAGGTAAATAGTATCTACATACCTGCTTCTTTATTGCCGACGTTTCGATTTGAATTACACCATGTCGTAGTCATGACAGGAGTAAAGTGAGCGATGTCTTCGTCTGGCAATTCGTATGGTCTCTTCGGGTACCTTCACATTGTCATTATTATTAACTAGAGCCACCCTACATACCGCATTCACGGTATCTACACTGCTTTTACACAAATTAGTGCGTATTTTTAGTGTACTAATTACTATGTTCCATACTATTCTCGGATAATAGAGACGCTTGATTATCCTTGGATAGTACGTTTTGCAATTGTAAATTGAAATAGCAAAACATTTCAATAGGGATGTTGGATATAGGCTTCCATCAGTATGGAACCTAGTTATTAGTACACTAAAAATACGCACTAATTTGTTTAAACGCAGTGTAGATACCGTGAATGCGGTATGTAGGGTGGCTTTAGATAATAATGGTGACAATGTGAGGATACTCAAATAGACTGCACAGGCTGCCAGACAAAGACGCCGCTCATTTCAGTGTTGTCGTGACCACAACGTGGTGGAATCCATGTCGAAACGTTGACAATAAAAAAGAAAGTATGTAGGTACTATTTATCTGTAAAAGCTTTTTCATCGCGTTTAGTCCCGATCGTAAATTTAAAATATGTGTAAACAACGCGAAAGTTTAAAATGAACTAGGTACCTAATATTATAAAAATCTCAAAATTTTGCGAGAACGACATCTTGTGTTCTCTGCTTGAAATTGCATGCTCTAAATAAAGTAATCTAAATAAACTTTAGACTGATTACTTGAATTCCTGATTTTTTTTTAAATAATCGAGTCAGCATTCGAGTCAACGTCATCACTAACTTCTACGTTTGACTTTAGACTAGACTTCAAGTCTAAGGAAAAGGCGGGAAACTCGAATAAGAACAAGCGGGTTTTTTAAATTTTTTTTATTAATTTATTAAAACTATCTCTATCAATTCTTATTATTGAATAAAATATTATATTTTCACTAAATTCAGCGACAGTAATATAATTAGCATTCATGGGGAAGCGCAGTTGTAGAAAAAGGAAAAAAAAGATGA